TCATTCATCGCTTTTTCAACTGCATTTTTAATACACGGAGTTCTTTGTTGGCGAAATCAGGAAAAAACCGCATGATTGTGGAGACAATACAAATACAGGACCAGATGATTACCTTTCATTGACCATTAAGAATACTAATAATGAAAAAAAAATCAGCAAGCTTTCGGTCATAAATCATCTTCTTCAAAACTGTGTGTCAGGTTTTTGTGGCGAGGTCCAACTTAGCTGCTGTTACGAATGCCCCCAAATGTTTTAAGAGATGGGCCTCTTGGGAAGGAGCTTGGGGGGAAAAACTTGCATACTACTGCCCTGTCTCCCTCTATGAAGCGACCCATCTTCATCATCCTTGTGAATTTGGGTCATTCATAGCAGCATCTAAGTAGGAACTGCCCACAAGAACTTGATGCACAGCCTTGAAGAAGATGAGTGATCACCGAAAGCTCGCTGTTTTATATTCTTAATTATCAATTAAAGGTATCTCCTGTTCTTGGGCATGTATAAGTTATTTGTTGTTTATGTGCCATCAACCCCCCCCCCGCAACCCTACAAGTGAGCAGTCTCCAAAAGGGCCTGTCCTCCATGGCCTTGCTCATTCTTCGAGATACACACCTGTGGTTTCCTTTAGGGAATCAGCCCATCTCGTATTTGGTCTTCCTCTTTTCCTGCTACCCTCAACCTTTCCCAGAAAAACGAAATCCTGTCTTCTCAAGATGTGCCTGAAGTAGGACAGATCCAGTTTCATCATTTTCACCTCCAGAGATAGTTTGCACTCGATTTGATCTGAGACCCACTTGTTTGTCCCGCCCGAAGTTCACCGGTACCCTTCACTAGGCATCTTTAAAAAGCTATTAAAACCCCAACTATTTGGACAGGCCTTTTCTGGACAAATAACAGCCTGGTGCAACAGTGCCTCTGCTAACGTACTGTTCAACATACCACCATGCTTTTATGCTGTTAAATTAATGTAATATATTGTACTGTATTTCACTATGTCTTTCACCGTATTTTATTTTGTACTTTTTAATTTATTGATGTCATCTTATTTTGTTATTTTATTGTTTCTGTCTAGTTGTTGTAAACAGCCCAGAGTGGCCTTGGCTGCCAGATGGGCAGTATATAAATCAAATCAAATCAATAAATGTTATCTTTCTGGTGGTCAAGGGTATCAGCAAAATTCTCCTCCAGCTCTACATTTTAAATGAATCATTTTCCCCCCTATCCCACTTTCTTAGTTGATAGTGAAAACTGCATGGTGCATTTAATATCATTCTTTCAATAATCATGGGGTAACAGGGAGGAATTATTTATTACTCGTACCTCTTTTTTAATGTGGTATGCCCTGAGTCCCCGTTTGGGGAGAAAGACAAGTTGTGAATCAAAAAAAGAAATAATGACAAAGATACTTTTAAAAAAGAATTTGCAGACACACTTATATCCTGGATGGGCCTCTGAAGACTGAAATCTCCGTGGGAGAAATGGGATGTTCAGCTGTATTAAAAGAATGCCTCCTCTCTCTTTCTTTTAACATCTCTGGGGCTGAGATGTTTTCAGGTTATTGATGTTGAATTGTAACAATAAAGACTCTGGGGATTTTGTGATCTCAATGTCACTGTCCTTAATGTACTGTTTCCAGTGTAAATAGGAAATCAGCTGAGAACGAGCCAATGGGGGGGGAATGTCTGAATGCCAAGTTATTGGATGACAATGATTATTCCACATCATGATTCTTGTGCCATCTCGTGGTCAACAATTCTCCGGACTAAGGATGCAACAACACAGGGCTATTGTGATGGCTTTCAGCCGATCTAGATCATGGGGCGTTTTTTGATGGAAGAGACAGAGATGTTGTTCTACGTTTTCTTAGCCAAGGTATTCACCTGTTTCAGGGTACTATTAGCTACCTTACACGCTATCTATCTTCAAAGGTCCAAGGGTCACATGGATGGGGTAGGGGCCTTCCCCCCACATTTTGTGGGGAATATTTACTCCCCCATCCCAGTGACATTAAAACTATACTTTACTCTGAACTTGAACAATCTCTTTTAATCAGGAATCATTTAGGGACATGCTTTTGGTCTCTGTCCCCGTTATCTTATAAAGAGAAAGAGAGAGGGAGTGAGGAGGGAAGTGCTGGACAATTGATAATTTTTATCATTATACCACCATCTTCAGCCAGGGTGGGCCACTGGTGGCCTTCCAGATGTTGGGCATCCGACTAAGGGCTGATGGGCCAGGAGGATGACAATTCGACCCATCCTTTGTTGACCTCGGGTGAGTTCCTCTCAGCTTGTCCTTCCTCATAGGGTTGTTGTGCGGATAAAGTATGAAGAGAGACAGAGGCCCAGGAATAAAGGCGGGATCTAGAGAGGGCCACAATCACCAATGTCCATCTGTGCCACGCATTTTATAAAATGCCACTCCTCGGAATCAGCAGGCACCTCCACGCTCGACTTATTGGGCACCTTGTAATGGCAGCAAAGGGGGGCATGTGGAGAACAGAGGTTAGAGCACGGGTGGGCAGAACCAAAGAATAATTAATTCGGAAGGGACCTATAAGGCCATCAAGTCCAACCCCCTGCTTGATGTAGGAATCCAAATCAAAGGAGACCTGCCAGGTGGTTGTCTAAGTTTCTCTTGAATGCCTCCCGCTTTGGAGCGCTCACCACCTCTCAAGGTCATTGGTTCCATCGTCATACTGCTCTAGCAGTTAAGCTCTACCTCTCGTTTTCCACCAATCCAGGTGAGGCGGTTTCTGTGCTGAACTCGTGTCTGGACCTGATAATGGACTGGATGAGGGTTAATAAACTGAAACTCAATCCAGACAAGACAGAAGTGCTGTTAGTGGGTGCTTCGCTGGACAGGTTGGAGGGCCATTTCCCTGCCCTGAATGGGGCTACACTTCCCCTAAGGGACAGGGTCCGCAGCCTGGGGGTGCTCCTGGACCCCAGTGTAAGTTTGGAAGCCCAGGTGGACTCGGTGGCCAGAGGTGCCTTCCTTCAGCTGCGGAAATTATACCAGCTACGGCCCTACCTGGATGAGCAGAGTCTCATGACAGTTACACACGCACTGGTAACATCTCGTATAGATTATTGCAATGCGCTCTACGTGGAGCTGCCTTTGAAGACGGTCCGGCGACTGCAACTGGTCCAGAATCGAGCTGCGCGGCTGCTGAGTGGGGGAGCCGCTAGAGATCACATCAAGCCGATTCTGTTCAATTTACACAGGTTACCAGTTGCTGCCCGGGCCCAATTCAAAGTGCTTGTTTTGACATATAAAGCCCTAAACGGCTTGGGCCCTGGATACTTGAAGGACCGCCTCCTTCCATATGAGCCTACCTGGCAGTTAAGATCTAGCCAGGGGGCCCTTTTGAAAGAGCCATCCCTCAAGGAGGTAAGAGGGATGGCTTGTAGACAAAGGGCCTTCT